AAACTTCGCAGACTTCTTGAATACTTATATGGGTAGCATCGCTGAAATTAACTATCAGTGACTGGGTATAAATAAGCCAGATAGATAAAACCACACAACGGCAGACAAAGGACAACAAATAAGGGACGAAGATCAACACGGAATTCGATTACCTCCTCTCTTGCCGATAAAATATTCTAAATAACCTAAAGCAATGGCCATTAGAACAGTCCCAAAAGCCTAGTTGAGTATGGAAAAGGGTCTGCATCATTTCAAAACCAATAATTTGGCAAAGAATTACACTTCCTGATTCATTTAGCTTGATGCATTACTTAAATAGCCACGGTTGATGATCCTTTATTCAAAAATACAGTTTGCATCTTTTGCATTCATATGTGGTACTTTATGACTTTTTGCGGGTGAAGAATCTAAGCAAAATATGTTATCGATTTTTTCAGAAGAAGTAAATTTTCTATTTAAGTGGCTTAAAGGAAGTGACTTCTACGCAAATGATTTTGAGCCTACAACTTGAATTTATCTCCAAAAAAGTTTAACCCCTTAGTACATATGTGTACACCGATCATATGCAGGACACACCTGCCCTGGTTTTTGAGGCCCTTAAGCTGCCATAGGTGAATGCGAATCTCACAACCATTGCCACATGACTAAACTTCGGGCCCGACAGCTCAATGGTTAAGGCGTTTGCCTCTGACCGGATAGACGCGGTTCGAAGCTCGAGTGTGGTGGCAATTTCCGCGGCTACACTAAAGTTGGTTAACTGCAGCTGATGACGCCTAATGGGGCAGAAATACCTATCCTGCAAGCCCCAATGTTTGCGGTAATGTCTAGTATAGTTTAACCCCTGTCAGACAGTTTATTTTAGCGGCGAGAAATGAAAACAAATGAAGCTCTATCCTTTGGTATTTAATAAATTACCCTTCCGTAATCCAAAGGAGTCAATTATGTTTCCAAATCATCGCCTTACGATTGAAGTGGCGTATAATCCTCCAAATCTCAAAGATGTTCGGGTTTTAAATTCAACGCTCTGATACAGGAACCTGATTTTTAATTTCCTTGAACCAACGAATGACTGGTGCACTTCCAAACGTGCAGCGTCATTTTTCGGGCTGAGTGACCGAATTAATTTTTGGTAGACGGACGTAGTTCCGGCTTGTGCGTCGTATGTGCGGACATTCAGGGTGTGGGATTCTGTTCTAGTTAGAAACTGCCCCACTCAAAGAGATCGGAGTGTGTACTTGCCACTCATTTGTCTCAGCACATAGCTGCAGGCCTTGCACACACTTATATATTCAAATATAGTTTATATAAAACGTACACGACAAATTCTTTATTGTACTTGTTTGGTAGTAAATTAAACCTTCTTTAAATTTTATACTTGAAGGAAGGTTGTCTTCGGGTTTTAAAGAAGCTTTGGCAACAGTAGCTTATGTAGCCCCACTCATTAATCCCTACTCTCTGCATGTTTTCCTACGAAAACGGTGGTTACGGGTTTCATGGGCGGGGAATTAGGACACACAGTGGACTATACTTGAATAAACGGTAAATGCATTTTTATCTTACTGTATTTAGAATTTTTGTTGATTTATATCTGTAGATATTCCTAATGTGTATTATCGTTTAACTTATTGCGGAAAAACCCGATTATCAAATTGCAGGTTCTGAATTTCCCGAAAAATTGAAATGGTGGTTAGGAGGTCGCCTACTTTAACTTACTATTTCCTGAAAAATTGAAATGCTGGTTAGAAGGTCGTCTACTTTAACCTACCTGAGGTCTAATTTACCGTTCTGGAGTTAGAATAGTACTAACCGCGGCACGAAGCGCCGCGCACACCTTCAATTTACATGTGGAACAACTTACTCCCGGCGGCCGCGGGAAGCCATTTCGAGTGCATTTTTTCACTTTAAATTTACTTCTAACAATTTCCTTCTTTGCCTATCCTATTTTCCCACCCATAAAACTCTATAACCACCGTTTTTGCAGGACAAAATACTCGGACTAGGGGTATATGAGTGGGCCTACATAAGTTACTTTTGCCGAAGTTTCTAAATTGGCGAATAATTTTTAAGCCTACTGAGTGCTACATTCAAGGTTAACAAACTGCATGCTATGTTGTACATCCTGTTTAAGGAAAAGTGCGTTTTTGCCTACGGATTTAGGAAGAAGTTACGTAATTCTCATAAAATGTTACAATAGATGTGGATCGTGCTGTATACGTTCTGGGCAGCATTAATAAATTGACGGATGCGATGTATTATGTAATGAACATCTCACAATCGTAAAAAGGCTCATACTTATAATGTTCTTACTAAAACCGGAGGACACCCTTTCCGTAAGTGTAAAATTTAGAACAGGCGTAATTTTATACCAAAAGAGTGCAAGAAAGAATTTTTCGTGCGTGTTTTCAATCAATTATATTTGAATTTATAAAGGTAGTTAAAATTTATGATAAAATGCATGCTGCTTAAGTAGCTATTTTTGCACAATCTACTTTTTGTAAGCGGTGAGAAGGAAGGCCCTTAAAAAGCCGGCATCATATCGTGACTCAAATGACTTGAGAATAGGCTACAAGATAATCAGTATTATAACCTTAGTCAATGCTAAGAATCAATCTTCTGCAAATGTCGGCACGAGCCGTGCCTTAATCCGTCTTATTCTGGGAACTATTTGAATTTTAACTGCAAAGCTGTGATGCATGAAACTGGTAGTTTATGGCCTCTGACGCAACGACTGACTCTTGTACTACTTCCAAATGTGCAGCCTCTTTTGTCAGTTTGAGTGACCGAATTAACTATCGCAGGGAAAGGAGGGATTATGCGGCCTCTCTGTGTGTGCAGCCTTGAGGTTCGGATTCTGTCCTAGTTGGCGACTATCCCACCCAGCGAGAAAGAGAGAGAGGGAGAGATCGGAATGTGTACTTGCCACCCATCTGTCTCAGCACATAGGTGCATTCCTTGCATGCACACACACATACGCTTGTCAGGATGTTCAGCTGGCCAGTGCACCCACTGTGAAATGTTTGCTTCTGGCAGGGTTCATCTGCGGACGGGAGCGTTGATTGCCAATCGGCAGCTGTGCACTTTACTTCCCCCCCTCCATCTACCCACCATCTCGGAAGGTAAACTCGCACCCATAACATACCTAGGCAGATGTCCGTGTTTAAAGGCTTTCTCTCCTCTTCCTCCTCCTCCT